AGACACGACATCTTGCACTTTTAGTCCGATGTTCTGATAAGTCAAAGTGACGGACTTTCCAGCTTTCATTAAAGCAGGTTTTTCATTCTTTTCTGTTGACACTGGAAATTTCCGTTACTCCTCTGGTGAGAAGAAGGGAAAAGGAAAGAGAGATTTCTTCCAAAAGGAACTGATGTAAAAATCAAATCCATAAACGACGAAGAACTAAAAGTAGCGATCCTTATCCAGTCTGCAAAATGATCGTTGCGTGCAGAAAAAAAAAAGATGAATCTGTGAACCAGGAACGATGTTGAGCCACAAGTCTGAAGCAAGCCAGATATGCTATCCAAAGACAAACACTGACCTTATTATGATTTCTTCAGCTAAAAGGATACAGTGCTTGAACGTGCCAGTGCTTCCATTGCCTTGAAAACAGCAGATCATACCCTGTACTGCTGTTGCTGAAAGCAAAATAGCTGCACTCAGTTCTCTGCCTCTCTCAGCCACTGCCTATCTGCACTCGGAATAGAAAAGATCTCTGTTTGACAGGTCTTAGAAGAATTTCCTACAACTGTTCCAAGTAATGGCACACCAGACCTCAGTAATAAAAAAAAGATAGATGTATGTTTGTCTAATTTCCTCCATATGTGCTCTTATTTACTTTAGAACAGAGCAATCCTAGACTAAACCTTGCAGAAATCTTTCGAAGGCTTGAGTAACTTGGATGTAACCTAAGCTGTTGGCACTAAGTCAACCCCGTCACACTGGCACCGAGAACGAATGGGAAAGAATACCGCTGCATGCTAGATGCTTTTCACCATTCACCACTGTGGGAGTAGCTTTCGTATAAAGGTAAACACAGCATGGCCCATAGGCAAAATAATGACGAGCCGGGCTTTGCCTGGACTTGCTGCAGTAAAAGAAAGCTATTCACACATAACTGACTCTATGCTGATACCATTAAAAGTCAGTTAATATGCATGTGTGTGCGCGTGCACACACAGAGACACAGCATGACGGCTGCTTTTAGAAGACACTAATTTCTGCCAGCACTGAGTCAATGAAAAATTTCAGGCTTCCTACTGAAGGAAATTTGGAAGTTCTGTTGGAAGAAGCCTAGGTGGATTAATAAGCGGGAGATCAAAGGTTTATATAAACCATGCTGTCTCGTTCCTGGATTGGGAGAAATGTCATATCCAGCGACAAGTGTTTCCCATAGTTCTATAGTCATGGGCGTGGTGGTGGTGGGAGAACTTGTTACTGTGCAAAGGGTTTTGATTCCAGAGAATATTGTGCATTTTCCCCGTGAACAGTGGCTTTTAAATTATGGACAAACATTGTGTAAACTCTTAGAAGACAGCAACATGAGGGGCGAAGCTCCATTGTTGAAGCTGTAGGCTCCTTCTCAAGGGAGGATAGATTTCTTCACTCCCTGCTGACCTTCCACTTACAGTAGAGGCTTGTTTATTTAGGCAGGCTGTTATCAATTGATAGGCTCAAATCCCTGCATTTTCACTGGTATGTTCGCTCCCTTTTTTTTGGCAGATCTGCGACTTTAAAGTGCTTCAATTTTAGCTGCATTTAATAATACAGTGAATTTTATTCTATTTTAATATTTGTAACCTGGTGTATTTTAGTCCTATTGGTATTTTTAACTATATTGTATGAGTAAGTCACCTCTAACTTTTGAGTGCAAGAGAGCTATTTAATGAACAAATGAACAAATAAACGAATAAACAAAACAATCAATCTGTTGTTGTTCTGGGCCATCAAGTCATAACTGACATAGTGATCCTAAGAGGGGTTTCAAGATAAGTGAGATATTTAAGGAGTGATTTTACCAGTTCCACTCCCTCAGTGAGTTTCCACGGCTGAGTGGGGATTTGAACCCTGTTCTCCAGAGTCCTAATCCCTTACTCTATTCACTATACCACACTGAGACTCACATTCATGCTATACCTCACAATTCTTCCTTATGTGTTTCACAGTCTTTTTAGGAGGTTTGACTTGCCCTGTCAAGAGCTCCACCTTGGGACAGGAACTTTTATGTAGCAGATAGAATATGAAGAAATTTCGCAAACGTCTCATTTAGGATCAAGAAATCCTGTTGAGAATTTTCAGGTGTCACTGAAAGATCCTACTGCTAGTTATACAACAAGCCATTTTGTTGTGATTGTGCTTTGTGTAAACTGGCAGCAGTGCCTTTTGCCTTTGGAATGCTGAGTACACACACCGTAAACAAACAAACAAAAAACGATAGGCTCGATATTCACAAAGATGCAAAGAGATTATTTAATCCTTCTGTTTAATAGCCCATGCAACAAGGTGACAGTCATAATATCTTTATAATCTCTCCAAGGTCAGGGAGGAGGAGTCCTCATCATCTTGTAGGGAGGAGAAATATTCTTGTATGTGGTTTTTCATTTCATGCATGGAGGGGACCCAGTTCAAGATTTCTGCTGTTAGTAACAGAACCCTGGTTATAAAACTCCTTTGCTTGGAAAGACCAGTTAGCTTCTTCACTATTGACCTTCAGATGGTGAAAATAGCAATAGTATTTTACTGAGAATTGAGAAATTAATGGTCCGGTTTGTTTAAATCTTTATCCTTTGCTATTTAGCTGGCTGGATAGTTCAGGATCAGAGTATCTGGAGTTTGATTCTCCACTGTACCTTGTAGGGGAACAGCGAACATGTGTAGCCTTGGGCAAGCTGCACAGTCCCAGAATGCCCCCAGAAGAAGGGACGGGCAAACCACTTTCAAGTACTTTCTACCTAGAAAACCCTGGAAAGGGTCACTAAAAGTCAGACTTGACTTGGTGACATGTATTTAATTTTTTGTTTGTTTGTTCAGCTAATTATTCCATCCTTTTATCTTCCTTGCTGTATCTGTTTGTGATTTCTTTTTGTATTGTTGCTTCTTCCATGCTCATGAATGGAAGGACTATCCAAAATTTAGTAAAAAAATTATAAATAAAAATATACAGTATGTTTGAAAAAAAAATCACTTAAGATTCTGCATAAGCAATCATCTAGGGCTCTAAGGACAATCACACAAGCATAGTCCACAGCATTTATGTTCTGTTCACATAGTAATATGTACATTAAAAAAACACTGCAATACATTTTTCTCCCTGAGGGTGTGGACTGAGCTAAGAGAAAAAATGAGTCTCAGGTGAATATATGCTAACTTGATTCATGTTGTAGAAACAATATGTTTTCAGCACCAATATTCCAAAAATGGTAGATATATTACATTGTATGTTAAACTCATTAGAAATAAGCATAAATGGGTGGGGATGAGGAGAAAATATGGCAATAGTGAATGAACACATTTGCATTCTTACACACTTAGTACATAACAGCTCTGGAACTTTCCACAAAATGCCCTCAGATTTATAAGCCTGGTATGTATATTTACTCCTCCAAGAATTTTTGCTGACTTTATCAACCATTTGGCTTACCTTCAAATTCCTCAGATGTTTTGCCTGGGGAGAAAACTTAACTTTAAGTCCAATGAAAATGTCAGGGTACAAATATAGCAGTTTGTAAGCCACAAACACCAATTGGTCAGACTGAAACTAGATAATAGACAGTACCGATAATAAACACTGTACATTACAAGGTAATGTTTTCATAAAGACTTATAAATACTTGGGAATTGTTTCCCATAGTTGGGTGTGACACCGGTAGGCTCCTCTGAGCTAAAAAAACAGCAAAGCCATCTTCTTCGTTGAGAACATAGGTGCTGAGGTTGGGAGGGAAGAGGGCTTTTAGCCTTTTGTATGGAGATATATATTTCTAAATTGGCTTTTCCAAACATATTTACAACTATGATGGGGACTATCTTGTTTATAGATTAGGCTGGCATTAATGGTGCTATGCTTAACACAGTTTTTAATTATTATTTTTAACCAGAGCACAGGTTGCTGTCCTCTGAAGATGCTGGCCACAGAGACTGGCGAAACGTCAGGAAGAACAACCTTCAGAACATGGCCAAAGAGCCCGAAAAACCCAGAACAACCATTTTTTAATTTTTTTGTACATGGCCAAAGAAATCATCATCATCATCTTCTTCTTCTTTTTCTTCTTCTTCTTCTTCATCATCATCATCATCATATTAGAACTGCAGATCTGGAAGGGACTATGTGAATCATTGAGTCCAACCCATGTCAAGAAAATACAGCTGGGAATTGATTTTCAACCTCTGGCTCCGCAGTCAGATACCAAAACCTCTGAGCTATCCAACAGTTCTATTTTGCTTTTTGAGGTTTGTAAGCTGCCCTGAGCAATAGTTTGTAGTGGAGAAATGTAAAGGATAACTTGAAGGTGAAGGCAATGGATGGGTATTCCCTCTCCAAACTTTTCTTCTGGTTTGTGATGGAAGCAGTCTGCCATGCTATTACCAAGCCACCACTGGGCAACAACAGTTCATACTGTTCTTGGCTGAACAAAGAGAAGGAATAAGGCTTATGAACATGAACCACAGGGCATTTCTCCTACCTCTCTGCATTAGGAGCCTGATAGACCCCCGCTGGCATGAGCTAAACCATTGCCATGGCATATTTATGTTGGTTCTAAATGGAAGGTACCTAGTCAACCTTTCCTCTTCAACAGTTTTGCCCTGGTAAACAACAAGATGGAGAAATAGGCAGAATAGGCACATATGGAAGACACAATTATCTGAAAATTCTGTGAATGAGGCATGATCAAGGGCTGAAATGGAAGTGGAGAAGGAGTAGGAAGATTTCCTAACTGATACAGCTGATGCGGAGTCCATTGATGGCTGTGATAGTTTTGTTGTCCAGCATCAAGCAGTTAATCTCACTTCCACAGGGCTTTGCACTGTTGCAAGCTGAGACATGGGACTTAGATTTTGGAGGAAAAAGAGTCAGGAGCTACCTAACAATTTTAGTATGGTCACTGCATATGATGTGTGTGGCACCGGGAGAATGAGTGAGGGGGACAAGAGCCTTTTCCAACTTTTCTTGCCAGCTTATCATATTATCACAATTTTCCTACCTCCTGGGAATTTGAGATATTATTCAAGTGCTCACAGTCCTTGTAAAACATCTGCAGAAGATGGACCTTCTCCAGCCATTCCTTCTTCTGGGCCCACTTCTGACATATTTTGCCCTTTTCTTCCACCAAGGCATGCAGTGCATCTTGGATCTGGCATGAGAAAACAAACAAAAGGCAACAAAGATGTTGATGATAGCTGATGGAAATGAAGGAGAGAGTAACCGTCTTGGTTGTTAACACGGGGCCAAATTGACCATTAAAGATGATGCACCATTAGTGCTCAAATAATGTTAAGTGTTCAAGGAATATGACAGACACAGTTGTTCCTGTCTGAAAAATCAGATTTAATGTAGGAAGAATATGCTGAAGAACAACCACACAACAAAGCAAACTAACACACAAATTACAGGCTATGACAAATTATGAGAGGGGACAATTATACAAAACCAGCACTTAAGGAATCCCCTCTTTGAGATGCTGTTTGCACTCAACCTCTTAATGAAAAGAGGTTTAATTCAGAAATTAATTCTTTCTCTCAGGAGCGCCATGCTCCATTTTCATGCATTTTCTTTTTCTTTTCCTTTTCTCTAATGGTGGCACACAAATAATTTGGTATAGACATTGTGCTTGGAGAAGTACTGATTAGTTCCATGTGCAAATGAGGCAAACTGGGCATACATACTTCTGTTTTGGCCATTTTCTGTTCTAACAGTAGCTCTTGACCGAGCTGTACAACCCGTCCGTAAATCTCATTATGGGCCTCAATCTCTGCCAACAACTGATGATGCTGGTTAATCTTCAGACCACTGGTCGATATATCTCGGATTTTCTCTTCAATCTCCATCTCTCTCATTATCTCAGAAGCCCAGGAAGAATAGTCCCGTACCTTAAAAATCAAGAGAAGAAAACAACACAAAACAACATAAAAACATGGAAGATTTAAAGCCCAGGAACATGAATTCTGCAGGCAGAATCATGAACTCTTTTATACTATGATCTGTACTACTGTTGCTATTTTAATTAATTAAATTAAATTTTAATTAATTACATTTTTACACTGCCCATCTAGCAGCCAGGCCACTACTCTAGGTGGTTGCAATAATAAGCATTTTATGTTGTTTTGATAGATCTGAACTTTAAAAAATGATTTTATTTTTCATTTTATAAACCACCTTGGTTTATATTATGTTAAATGGTAGTATAAAAACTTTATACTATCGTGTTAAATGGTAGTATAAAAACTTAATTAAAGTCAAAGTGTGATTGTGCTGCTTCAGTTAGAGGGAAAAAGCAGCAATTGAATCCAGGCAAAATTGTTTATACTGTAGTAATATTTAGAATTCAGAACACAAAGATATTATGACAGAATATCATTTTAAAAATGAAATGTTACATGGTATCAGTTCTACAAGGCATCACAAGACAGAAAGGAAAACAAATAGCAGCAATACCATAAGCATTAGAATAATTAAAAACAAAATGATTTGGATTCTTTTAATGCATGACCCCTAAAACTCACATATTAGTTAGCATCTCATCCAGGATTTCCTTGCATCAGATGCTGTGGAAGTAGTAGCACTATTTGGCAAGCTGTCCATTGTGCAACCAGTTACACAACCAGTTGTGCAACTGAAACTTCACCAAGCAGCACAACAGCTTATGCAACATTAGTTGGGGAAATACCTAAACAAGAGGTTGACTATTCAGAGCACCTTTAACATAAACATGCCATCTGTCTTCGGCTCAACCTTTCATCTCTCCTGATGCTTCTGAATAGAGATGGACACAAAGCTCAGTCTGAAGATTTGTGCCAATTCATATAAGCGGTACCTGGAGTGCCACGTATTCCATCCCCCCACGCCCCACCCCCGGCCAATGACCCACTCACCAGTCCGAGTGTGCTCCTCTCCTCCTCCATTTTGGCTGTTTGACCATTCCCTAGCAAGAGCACGAAGCATGGTTTTGCCTGTCCTGCCTCTTTGTCTGAACAGGTGATCAGCTAAGGAGGAAGGGCAGGGAAGCCCATACTCCTGCCGGGGACTGGTCAAACAGCTGAGGAGGAGAGGAGCACGCACTGTCTGGTCAGGCGGGGGGAGGCAGGGGGTGGGAACATGTGGCAGCCGGGGTGCCACACGTACAAACTGGCACAAAACCTCCAGACCAAACTTCTTGCCCATCTCGACTTCTGAGGCCTGTGGAACATATACATGAAATATGTAATTCTCATCACTATCATCATCATTTCAAAAAAGAAGCCGAGAACACCAGAAAGCTCACTTGTGTCTGAAAGTGGAGCAGTCTACAAGCTTGTTCCAGCCGTTCCCGGCATTGCTGCACTTTAGCCCTCAAGACCTCCCAGTTCTCCACCACCGCCTGCTGCTTGGCTTGGATCTGCTCTGCTTGACTTGTAGTGCAGCGGCAGAGCACGCCATCGGCAGCATCGATCAGTTCCTGTAGCTGCAAAAAGAATAAAGAAAAGCAAGGAAGAGCATGAGGTGAGCTCCATAGCCTTTGAAATACATCCTGGAGGTGCTTCCATCAAATCACATTCTCAAGAACTGCATGACTCTATAGGGCAGCAGTGACACCCAGTGTCTACTAGCAGATGTGCTTCTTTGCGTATATTGACAAAGAGGCATTCGAATTCTGTATCAAGGAGGCCACAGGGCAGGGATGAATTGCCACTCCCGGTACGCCTCATCAGTGGCCAGCTTCTGACCCTTGTGCCCGAAATTCACTACTGATGCCAGGCTTATCCTTGTCACATCAATGACAGACACACAGCAGCAGCCCAAATCATCCTTACTGCCACCACTATCTGCCTGACTTATAGCCACTCACACTTTTCCCAGGCCACATACAGTTATCTTGTTTCCTCTCTGCCTGCTCAACCTCCTCTCTATTCTTTGAGGAGAGGAAAAGTAACAGCAGCAAGTAGAAAACTATGAATCAACCCAAATTTGGACTATTTTCATTTCAAATGCAAGAGTAGGGTGATACCTTTATTGAACCAATTTTAAAAATCACACAGATCACAAGCTATCACCCTACTCTTGCATTTGTGTGATTCTGAACCTTACTGCCTTTCCCCAATTCTTCATTTCAAATGTTTGCTGGCATATTGAATGTAGCACCTGAACCTTATTGCCTTTCCCCAATTCTTCATTTCAAATGCATTCAGTCTTAAATCTCTTCTACATCATTTTGCAAATTAAAACAAAACACAACATAACTGTGAATTTATATTTATGAAGTTTCATGTACACATTTTAATGCAACCTTCTCTAAAATATGTACTTTTGTATCTTTCTCTAATATACACATTTGTCTGCACAATTGCCCATGACGTATGGATATTTTGAGCTGGCTGGAACCAAATTTTGAAAACCGGACAAATGCAGGTGCCAAAGGATGCCTGTATTCTGACCAGCATACTAGTCTCTGCAGTGCAAATTAAATAATGTTCCTTTGAAGAGGCAGATCAAAGAAAAAACTTCCCTATCTCTAGCAGCAAGTATTATCACTGTTAGAACTCCTGGATAATTCAGTGGCTTAGGCATCTGGCTGCAGAGTCAGAAGTTGACAATTGGATTCCCCACTGTGTCTTCTTGACAGGGTCTGGACTCGATAACCCGTAGGGTCTCTTTCAGCTCTGCAGTTCTAAGATTGCCATCATAATCACAGGGAAGTGGCTACAGAGGTAATGGGGAGTGGTGGCTGCTACAGTTGATACATCTCCTTCACATGGCCTCACAACAATGCACTTTCTCTCTTCCTCTGGGTAGCACGGAAGAGGACAAGATTCAGCAGGCACCATCATTACAGGTAAAAGATCTACAACTGCATCTTTTACAATTTAGAGGGACCAGCTCAAAACATCCTTCTCCAAGGTTCTCCAAAAGCTTATATAGGCATTTAGGAACATTTATATTGTGTGAGCCTCTTTTTTCCAGCTTTAAAAAGCACCTGACAAGAATATAAGTCAAGATGTACAATAAGGTTTAGAGTGAAACAATCTAGTAGACTTCTAAAAAAAGACCACAATGTGTTTCCAAATTGTAACATGTCCCACCTGCTGCTCATTCCCAAACAATTCATACTCAAGTGTTGCATGTTTACGTAGCTGTGAGTGCACACCGCTCAGGTCTCTAGCAATGTCATCGGGGATGGTTTTTGATTTCTCCTGAGGAGAAAAACATGAATAAGTTTGCTGTCAGAGAATCTGGCAAAGTGCAAAGAAGGCATACAGGAAAAAAAAATCAGAGCCAAACTGGCACATACTTATCATAGATTTGTCTCATTCACATATGAAGAGGAAAATGGGGTAGGGAGGATTGTGGGAGAGTATATGTTTTATCAAAAGGAGCACAGAAGCTATGGAAGCAAAATGTCACTTTGACTTTCCATTTCACTGTTTCACTCCATTGTATATAACACCTTTCTATCCAACCCAACTTCAATGCTGAGGGGTGAGGGTTGGGCAAACCAACCGCCTTGCTGTGAATAGGGAGATATATGGATGAAGAGTATGTTTTTTTAAATTGATAATTGTTTTTACCCACTATTTTATATTTTATGGTATACTGTATGTTTCAACTTTGCTGTCACTACATATGTATTTATGATACCATAAGGTAAAGTTTTATTGATGTTTTGCCACCTGCAATGTTTAGTGTAGAAAACTGAGAAGAAATAGACACCCAGTGGTTCTGTCACATCTAATTCAGTTCTTACAATGACACGGTAAGACAAGCAGAAGCAAAATAATCAATCTGTTTGTAACCTCAATGTGGACAAGGGCTTCTGTCAGATCTTGCAGGCACTTGTATACAGCTTCTGCATCTTGTAGTTTTTTGCTTTGAGACTTGGTTATCTCTAGCAACTCCTCCCAATGGTTCCTGATGAGAGAGACAGGTAAAAGAGATCACATGGTAACAAAACCGGTTCCAAGTTTTAGACCACTTGAAGAGCAACTGCTTGTTGGTGTGTGTATGCAGAGAGAGGGCTTGGGCTAGTGGGGACTATTACTGGTGCTTCTCTTTCTTGCTCAGTAGACATCAAGCTGGAACAGAGCAAGGACCAGCGATGGGCCACTTTTTGGTCTGTGAGCCCTTGTAGTTGCCAGACATGTCCACCTCTGACAGGAGGCTAAAACCAGACTGAATCAAGCAGCGGCAGGCTGCACATTGGAAAGGTGCTGTTTTTCAAAAAGGCATTCCCAGAAAATGTCAGTACTCCTGCTATTTTGTTCTACTACACAAGCAGATTCTTTCCGTATTTTTCAATCTCCTCTTCAGCGCAAATATCTCCAACAAATTCTAGTTTCCTGTACACCAACTGGCCTTCAATCCAACCCACATATTTGGAAAGGGGAATAAAAATTAAAAATTCCCCCTGGCTCATTTTTCTCTTTCCCCCACCCCAGCATCTTAAATTGTTTACATCTGAATGAATGAAGGAAGGAAAATAAAAGGTATTCCCATGCCCCACATCCATTCTAGCAATGGACTGGGCCAGCTGAGGAAGTAACTTCCCCATTTTGGTTTTAATAAGTGCAGCAAGGTGGAAGAGGAAAGGGTGTGTTATAGGTGTGTTCACATCTTGATGCTTCCCCATAAGCTGTAGCAAAGCAAAATGGTCATGGCGAAGCATATTGTAAATGTTTATTATACCTTTCTGTTCTATTATGAGAGCTGCTTAAATAATCTTCATATATTTATATTATATATTTATAGTTATGTATTTATATTAAACCCTTGGGACGTGGTGCTGCTGCGGGCTAAACCGCAAAAGCCTTTGTGTGCTGCAGGGTCAGAAGACCAGCAGTCGTAAGATCGAATCCATG